CACGGGGGTGACAGAGAAAGCTCAGCAAAGAGAAGCAGCAGAGGACAGAGAGCCTTCTTTTTAAGGTGAATTAAGCAGAAGTGATGGTTTAGGGGGCACCGAGTCAGCAGGTGCCCCGCACACCTCATAGCCAAGCTCTAATCCCTTTTAAAGTGTTTTGGGAGATCTTTAAGTAGAAAAACATATTTACAAAATACAGCAAAACAACTACAAGACAAAAGACAAAAGCACATGAGACCAGAGAGAGGCTGATGGAGTCAGCTTCAGAGGTGACCTTGATTTGGGGGAAGATAACCAAGACAAAAAACCAAAAAAATCTAAAAGCTATACTTTAAAATAAGGACTACCTAAAATGTACGCTCCAGAAATTTCAAATTTACAAGGATCTCAATAATCTATGCAGGTTCATTTTACTTGCAGGCATGATATAAAGGGGATTTAAGTCCCTTAAAGGGTTTTTTCATGCCCTAGAATGCTTACCCTGCATCTCTTCTGCCAATGGGCATGTGTACAAACAGAAACAGGCATGTTAGACCGGTAGAGTGCAAAACAGATCTTAAATGCATTTCTATTTTGTTGTGAACAATCTAGAAAAAAGAATAATTTTAAACAGACTAGACCATCTCATTCTGCATACTAACTAGTTAGTTAATTATTAAAATTTCTTTTGAACATATACAGTTCAGGAATTTCTAATATGAAGTACAGAAAAATAAATATTTTGATTTGCTAGGGAGGGTAACACCCCAAACTTTTGAATAGTATGTTTTAGGTGACTGCTCACTCCTCTGAACATACAAAATATGCATTCAGAATTTACAAACAAGATACTTGTGAGAACTGATTTTAAATATTCAGAGAATATTTTTTGTGTTTATTTTAGTAACTATTTAAGGAAAATTATGCACAAGATTTCAGGATCACCTTCTCTGCTTTTTCATATACTTTTAAGTACTTGAAATTTTAAAAAAGTTTTCCTTTCTGCAAGAAATTTTCCTCAATTATAGCTAGCCAGATAGCTGTATTTCTGAAAATTAGGAGAATCTATTTATTATTTTGCATAGATTAATAAAATCACCAGAACTGTTGAATGAATAAGACCTCTTGGCGACACACAAGTCCAAAAATCCTTATATACTAAGAATTCAACTTCTTTGTCTGATTAGTCAAGAGTTACTTTAAATCTAATTTTTCATTATTCTATAAGTTATAGTCTCCAGGAAAGCAGAAACAAAAACATTTAAAATAATGGCAAGCAACAGAAAATCAGGTATATAGAATGTGTCCACCTTAACTGATTACAAGACGCTGGGAAAATAAACTCATAGACTATTATAAAGGCTTGTTAAATAAAATTCAGGGCTTGCTATTACTTGTATTTATTGTTCTGATTGACATGTCAGCTTTTCTGAGTCTGTGTCATTAACTGTATTCTGCTGCAGTAGAAACTATATTCATGTACAACACAATAACTTTCTACTTCAACTGCTACAAACCTGAATTGCAGATGTTTCAATCCTCTGTGGAAATGCACAGTTAAGTACATAACAATTTAAAACCAGGAATCTTAAGTTTCCTATGTAAGAATAAATATAAGGAATTAAACTACAAGATACAACATTACACAGCCTGCAAGCTAAAATACTCAGAAGCCGATAACTGGTTGTTAGTTAGCTCAGATAGCTGACAAACAGTTCTAGTTCACTTTCATGTCCTTGTATTACACCCATGAAATTAACTTTCAAATCTTATTTTCCTCAAATACAGATTGAATTTCACCCAAGATTATAAAAATACAGCTTCCACTGATTTCTGAATTTCTGGAAACAGCTCAGCCACATACATATGCAAGTGAGAAAGGATAAAACTTTATCTTTTTAAGTTCTGGCTTTTGAGGGTACAGACTCTTATCCATAGGGTTATAAGAGTACTGCTTTCATGAGTACCACACCAGGGTTTTTGACTTTATTTACACCAATGGAGTGCCGTCCACCAAAGGCCAGAATTTATTTTTTTAAAAAGGTGAGTGACGAAATGTCAGTAAGATGATCGATCACTACTTTAAGTTTCTTAGTGAACTTCATAATTAGAAGAAATATTTTCTTTGGAAAATTCTACCATCTCTACTATTTTTACAAGTCATTCACAGGTAGAAATCCCTTAGTTTGTGGAAGTGTCGCAGCCTGCCCGGACCCCTCAGAATTTTGACGTACCAAACCTACAACTCCCTCATAGCACTTGGATGGGGATGGTGAAGAGATGATTTATTAGATACAGCAAGGGAATCAGGCTGTGCTAGGGTCCATGCTCCCTCTTGCCTTTCAGACCCGGTATGTACCACTGGCATCCCACGTACCTGACAGCATGAGAGAAACTTTAATCACACAGAGAGAGGGGCAGAGAAAAAAAAGAATTACACAGCTGAGCTGGCATTCCCAGGAGCCAGCATTTTAGTCTAGCTCTAAAGCAGCAGCTCCCTCAAACTCCATGTGAAGAGAAAAACCCAGATGAGCCAGAAACCCAGCCATCACCTGCAACCTCAGACTGTGGTTCTAGTAGCCAACACTCTTCTTTTGGGGTGGGAATACCTCACCTCTCAACACTGGGGACAAGATAGGCACTGCAATCGGTCTCCTCCTCTCTCTTGTCTAGCACATGATACCAACCCTTCAACAATCTCCTAGGGAATAAACTTTCTCCTGCAGCTGACTTGTCAGCCCTGCAGCTGAAGCCTCTGAAGACAAAGCAAAATGCTTTGGGTTCAAATTTGGTTTATGACAATATGGTACATAGAACAGCCTGTCCTCTAGATAAAATTTAAATGGCAGCATACAAAAGATGGTACTAAACCAAACCAGAAAATATTTGTACTGATAACAAGAAAATTAAGATTAGTAAGAACAGTTTAATGGCTGTTGATGGAATTAATTTAGTCATTGGAATACACATTATGACGTTTAACAAAACAACCATGTGTTTTTACAATGAACTTTTAGCTCATTCACTTCACGAGTTAAACATGAAAGGAGCTGAAATAAATTCTCAGAGCAAGAATAGTTTCCATCTCTGAATTTCTGAGCTGTTGATTTTGTAACCTAAATAATATTATTGCAATGCATTTTTACATAACTGCAATCTATCTTTACATGAATGTATTCTGTATTTCATCACGTAAAAAAAGATCTGTATAAAACATTTTAGACAAACATGAAGGGTTCCCTACTGAAAGAACTCAACTCTTTGATGATGTCTTATCTCTCCTTGTAGTTTACTTGAATATTTATTTTCTATACAGTTACCAATGTGATTATGTTACCACTACATTAGCCCTTTGCATCCATTACACCATCACTCTGTTGCACTTCCACACAGGGAACCCGGCTAAGAAGAAGCCCATCTGCTCTCCTCCTCACATTTGAAAGTCAGAAACTCTGTGGCCAAAACACACTTGTGTCTAATGGTGCTGACCACATGGTTCCCACTCACTCATCCAAAAATGGTAACAGAAAAACATTTCTTCACTGTGGGGGAAAGAAGCACCAATGGTGGGGAAGGACATTTAGGAAAGTTACCAATGCAAAGAGACAGCCTCAAAGCATAAGAAAATCCCCTGTATAGCGATATCATCCATCTAAACAGACACTCTTACATCGCTAATCTATAATTCATTTGGAAGACTCTTTGTTCCCTCTTCAGTGACTTATTACTGATTCATTAACAAGCTGTGAGAGTAAGAACAAACAAGAGCAGAAGACATTGCATTTCGGTACCAGCCTACCCAACTGAAACTTGCATCTTTACTCTCTGTGTACCAGATGACGAAAACCATGATACTACCCTGAGGCTTTAAGCTGTTGCTCACTGGCCATCTCGGCACTGCAAGATCACAGTTGTCTTCCAAATCTATAAACATGCCACTGCAGAAACTCATGGCTGTACCTCAGCCTGAGGTAAGACTAGGGCATGCAAAATTCCTCAGGTTCCCGGTATCCACCGGACATGAGGGAGAGTACGAAGGCTGGAAGGGAGTCGTGCCATGCTACAGCTATTCCTGATCCGGATATCTGGGGAATCAAGACTGCACTTAGCCCCTAAAGTCAAGCATTGCCAACTCTGTACATAATCCCCTTACTTTGAGAGACACAAATTACGTCTTTATTTAAAAACTGAAAAGACAGAAAAAGCATGCGTTCAAACTGTGTTTAAAAACAAGCCTGAGATACAGAGTACTGCCTTAGGGAAGCTTTCATTGAGAACTGATCACAGTTTAGAAAACAGCAGAATATACAGACATCTGTCCCACTGCTTTTGAACAGATAAAATTAATTAAATCAGCATGTGGAGCCTTTTAGGTTGAACAAGTAATATTTTGTCAGAGGTTTACAGCAGTGACACAGGTACCACCTTAATTCTGGACGCTAAGGTAGATTGTAGATTCCACTATATATGATAACTAGGGGGAACCTACAGCTACTAACAACTTCGGTCCACTAAAGCGACTGACAAGTCTTGTGCTGCCTTGGTACTAATAGTATATTCACTGCACAAGGCCACAATATCTCAGCTCATCCACAGCTAAATTCCACAGTGCATTCTTTCACCTTGCTTCAAAACCAAAATTGCTTGTAGGTTTTGCAAATGACACAATGCCCACAGCAATTTAAGAACAAATGTCTCTGACAATGTGAACGTTTCCTTCCAGTTGTGAAAGACTTGGAAAAAGAAAATAAAACAAACAAACAAAGTTTTGTAAAAAAGGAGGATACCTCTGTTTCTCCCCTTCAAGGATAAACCAATTCCCAGCATACTCAGCATTTTGACAGACACAGAACAGTTGTATTCCACTTCAGAGTGTTGTACAAACACAACAAGGACTGTAGCCAGGCTCTTCCACCCTATGACTCCACGCACAAGGAACCAGTGGGGAGAAGGCTGTCGGAAACCGGCTATGCCAGATTCTCTCCAGCCATGCTCAGAAATCAGTTTCCTTATTTCCTTACCCTCTGTTTCCGTAGGCTTCCTGGGCTGGTGGGAGATGGGCTTGGAGACTTCCCAGAGCGGGGAGTAGAAAGCTGGCTGCCAGGGGTTCCATTCACTAAAAAGACAATAAAATGAAAAAATAAATACAAGGCATTATTAGAAGCAAAGGAATAGTTAAATCAACATGCTTCTTTTCATTTTTTGTTCAACAGATTGATTTGCTTTTGCTTAACGTTTTCAATATTAAATAAGGAAATTCACAAAAGAACTGTTTCCTCAGAGTTTAGGCTCATGAAGCCAATTTTTACACAGAGTGCGAACAATTAATCAGCAAACCTGAAAAGACTTTCTAGTCCATGGCAGAGTAGAGGATCACATTTTCTTAAACTGTATTGTTCCTGTGCTTGAAAGTGATGGTGAGCAAGGTGCTTTGTTAACCTTAACAGACACTTGCTGTATGTGAACCTTTTCATTTCATTTAGTTACAGCTTGGAAGTGTTACCCACCAAAACCAAAAATCAGCACTGCTTGCAAGAACAAATCAGCTGCTAGCTGTCCCTCACTCATTCATTTGAAGAGATTTCTTCAATACTACCTGACCCAAACATCACCTCGGACTTAACCCAGAAGGGCTTTCCTACAGGCAAATAAATAAGACATAGCACCTCAAGTCTGACTTAAAGCAAAACTCACCACTTTCTCAAATAAGTAAGTTCCTTCATATGTCAGTGCTTATCATTCTTATGATTTTAGAAGCATCTTTTACATGCATGTGACATTATCCATTAAATCAACAAAACAATACCAGCAGAGGACAGAATTCTACTACAAAGTAATCACGAGAGGCTATCAATAACGTTCACACTGAAGCACTGATAGAAACACTACAAACTGTGTACTATATATATATAAATACTCTTAAACAAGCATCTGTTATATCACAGTCCACATTTGACAGCACCAGGGGAAAAAAAACAACAAAAAACAATCGACAGTCAGATGCCCAGATTCTGGGCATTCATAAGAGAATATTTACATACTAGGATATCAACACGGCATTTGACTTACCTTCTATGAGTTCTAACATGGACAAAATCTTACTGTTTAACCTGATAATAGCAAGCTGCAAAATTCCTGCTCTGTACTAAGCCAAGCTGTAGCCAAACTGAGAAGCAATGGGATTAGTTAGGGATAGCTGGGGCTGCTCACAGAGTGAGCTGAATGCGATGCAGGATTCATAAGCAGAAGCCTTTTCTGCGTAAGGCTGACGTCTTCAGAGCAGCAGTGGGAGGTGCAGGTGCTGTCTTAGGGCTACATCAAAGGTGTCAATTAAGCATAATGCTGCTGCTTCACAACGCTGAGCCACCGCAACCCCCACTCGCTTTCCATGGAGCCCCGAAAGCCCAAGGAATTCGATATGCTGTGCACTGAATCATAATGAGGTGCCTTTGGGGGCAATATACCAAATGACTCATCCGAAAATCAAAATGACAATAAGTCTTGTAAAACCTTGGCTGACTGGCAATCTAACAAATGCTAATTCCTTTGGATAAGACAGTAGGCATTTTTAACAGATTTTTCTTACTTTTTACATAATACATTGTTCTCACTGGCTAATAATGGGCCCGCACATTATAAGTAAGAAACATGTATGTCCACCACAACACACGTATCAACAAAACACATTATACTGTATGATAAATAATGATCACTTAATAGTGCTTAGGTGTTATGAGTGATCAAATCTCAACATCACTTTGTGCAAGGCATTGTCTAAGGTAAAGGTGCAATAGATTTGTATAACCACAGGAACAACAAGATACACTAACTGGATTTAAATAGGCTGCTTCTCTAGAAAACTATTTCACATATAGACTTCAAAGTCTCTTTGTACAGAGGATGGTGGTTTGCACATAGAATCATAGAATCATAGAATGTTCAGGGTTGGAAGGGACCTCGAAAGATCTAGTCCAACCCCCCTGCCAGAGCAGGATCCCTAGGGCAGCCACACAGGAACGCATCCAGATGGGTTTTGAAAGTCTCCAGAGAAGGAGAGACTTTCAAAACCGTATCAGCACTGATTCAAATGTGTGGGGGAAAGGACATGCATGTGGACACATCCACTGAAATTCACACAGTACTCAGCCAAACAACCCACAGGACTGGCCAATAATGTCTAAAATAAAATTTATTATCAATACTTCTGAAATAATTCAGGAAAATGGAAAGATGAGGACATTAACAATGAGCTTTTTGGAATCCTAAACTTCTAAAGTTTTAACAGGCTTCTTAGAAAGAGCTATGGTATTACTTAGAATCTAATACCAAACTATTATTCACATGGAGCTAGTCCTCAAGACTGCTGAGTAACAAGACTAGTGCTCTGCCTTCTCTTTAAATCAAGCAGATATTCTTAGGTCTTATTATTATAAGAAAATCTAAGATAACAGATATACTCTAATAAACCTTGTAGCACTAAGCACTGGTTCCTGCTCCTTATAAATCGCCTCCTTCCCCACAACTTTCAACAATAGTTTTTCTCAGAATTGCTTTTGGAATTATCCTCTCTTGAAGACAAAGACTTGAGGCTACCAAGTGGAATCAGACAAATAGATCTAATGGTGTATATGACTCTTGATGTATCCCCCACGTGTGTCATGCTGATGAGTATCTACTTGACATGAAAGAATAAAACCTTATAAACTATTTAAAATAGACACTTGCCACCACCAGAGTGGCTCTTCCCAACAGAACTTTTAAAACAAAGAAAAAAGGAAAGCAGTTGTGTTGGCCATTTGTAATACGGGAAATCAAGATCCCAATTAATGGACTGAGGCCCACAGGAGATCTAAGTGGAGTTTGTCCACCTCCTTACACATACCAAAAATACAAAGCTGCTAAGTACCTAAAATAAATACCAGGATTTTTGTGAGCATATAAGGACTGTCTATGGAGAGCTGTTTAGGAAACTCTAAAGATGACAATTAGCACTCAGGACTAGATTTCTTTTACCAATCTTTAGGAATCTATTGTACTGACTTCTACATCTGAAATAGTTTTCGAGACCTTATTTTAACCAAGTTGCTGTCGTAGCATGAATTGTATCATCTCCAAGCAACCATCTAAAACAGACTTCATGAACAATGTATTAGGAGCATCCGCTGCAGTGTAGACTTCTAAAGCTAGGCAAGATGAATCCAAACCCACGCACCTAGAGGTTTAGTATATGCTGGAGATAAAGCAAAATCATCAAAATTCTCCCCACCTACCAATTTTGGTGTATTTTATTACAACCACAGAATTCTGTTAAATAAATTCTAATGACTGAATGCCAAACAGATTTTACATTAGAGTCAACCCGAACAGGAACCTGCATGATGTGGGTTTTATTCCCAGCTCTCTGTATACGCTTGCACAAGATCGGAGAAGTCATGTCATATCTACCACTTGTCAACTTAAGCTTTAAATTCTGGCAGAATGAACTCTCCCTGCTCATCATGTTGTCTGTCTTCTGGATGCTCTGCATACCTGGAGATATACATGACTATTACTGCTGATATTGCTAATGTAATGCTTAAGATAGACATCATAACAGGGGAGAAAAGGTAATTCCTAATAACTCCCCAGTCCACTCTAGAGGGTCTCCTTTTTTATCTTCTTGTTTATGGCCTCCAACTCCAGTCCCTTGTTACACTGAATTTGTAAATATAGTTGATATTAGGTGCTGTATAGAAGGAAAAAAGACACAACTGCTTCTGGCCCCCTTCTTGAACTCCATTTACAAGCACAACACCATTCTTGCATATGCCACTCATGACCAGGTAACAGGGCAAATATGTGAACAAAACCTACATTACTTAATAATAATGCACTCATGGCAAGTGCAGGAATATAGTCTAAACTGCCTTAAAATCCATTTCTAAGTGGAATGCATTCTGCTTGGAAACTGCATTCCTATCCAGTATCTGTACTGCATTTCTTACTGACTGACACAGCACATGTTTCTACACGGAACCTTGATGTAGATAAAGACATAGGAAACTGGTAAATCACTGTTGTGATTAATCATGTTATTGAGTGAGGCAAGAGGTTTCTTGTCACTTTTTATTCATAAAATTGCAGGGGTCAGAGACTTCAGCTTAATGCACAGCACCTTCCCATCGTCTCATGAAAAAGATTTATCCATTCAAAATTTCACAGGTGAAATATGTATTAAAAAGCTAAGACAATAACAAATTTATTGTGGCTGTTCTGAGCAGATGTATGCAACTGCTTAGCAGTGAACTTCCTTACTGTCCTCTCTTACCCAGGATGCGTAACACAGCAAGAACCTGTCTTTGTATTTGTTTCTCCAGCACCTGGCACACATATGAAGGTAGAAATCCTCACAAAATATAACATTAAAGCCAGCTATCATCATCTAGCGAGATAAATGCAAAATAGAGTTTCATACGATAATGTTTATAAACTAGTAAAAATGTAGTAATTAAAATTACTTTGGTGGCATTCCAATAAACAAAATTTGCTAGGGCATCTTTTTATTAAGTAATAAAAAAAAATAAGAAAAATTGAATTAAAGGATCAAGTGTCGGTCTGAGAAGCTGCCAATGCCACTGCACTGTATTAAAATCACACATTACTATAAAACTGCCTGTTGAAGTGTTAGCATCTTGTACCCTATAAAACATGTAGATATGACTCTGCGGTTTTCAAAAGCGGTTTGCCAACCACAAGAGTGTGTGTGAAGAGCGAAGAGGAAGGGAAAGGAATGGTTCAGGCTTTTTGCAGTCACAACTTACTCATGACTAGGACAGGCTGATTTACAGGAGTCATAACCACATGTGTAGGTCATACTCAGCAACGTTAGCTAGAAATTGGTGATACAAGAACACTACTCGACCTTGTCTCAATTATTCCTGTAGTTTGTCACTGTCATTTCCAAACAACGTGTCTCAATAAGACTACGTAGTTACAAAGTAGTTAGGGAACAAATCATACCTTGCCTTTTCATCTCTTCTGCATTTGTATCCTACTCGTATACATCTCATAATTTTTGTCTTCGTTCCCGAATACAAAGTTTGTTGGAGCACCACATTAAGCAAGTGCCCTCCTTATCATCCCCTAGTAAAGACAAGGCTTTGTAGGTTTTACCTTAGAACGCAAGAGGTTGAGAAAAATCTCAAATAACCAGTACCAGCATTTGTTTTAAATGGTGCTAAACTGTCCCTTTTACATTCAGTCTTTTCTAGAGTTTAGGTCATGAAATTATGCAGAGACAAGACAAACTCTCTGCCACTGAAGACAAGGGTTGAAAGACCCATACGGAGCTTTCACGTCATCAACAGATTAGAAATATCAGTAGAAGGGATCACCTTCAGGTCAGGTTTATAGTCCCATCAGCCACCAATGCCTCAGTCCCCATAAGCCACTGGTACCTGTCGTAGCCACACAACATAACCCAAGCAGTGCAGAGCTCAGTAGGGACTCTCGGCCCTCCCCACATTCAGCCCATGCTGATCTCCATGGAGTGGCCACTAAGACAGCACTTCCACCTCAACCTGAAGTCAGCTGTGTCCACTCCACCAAGCAGAGGAGCGCTGCAGACACACAGACTTTGCAGAAATCTCAGAATCTGACTCAGTTGAAAATACAATTGCCTGGAATCCACAAGTATATTTTTTTTAGCCTCTGAGGATGGGTAAGTGTCTCTTTTTTTCTCTGCACTTCATCAGAGCACAGTGGATACCTAATCGAGAGAGCATCTATGTGTACATAAGAGTTAATGAAAATCTCTTTTTTAAACTCTTTTGCCTAATTAGAAATAATAAGATTCTTAGATCAGTCTGTGTGAATGGAGTACTGACTCTGAGAATGTTTCTTCATGCGGCGTTTAAGTTTTTAATCCTTTAAGAGGGTTAAACTATTCCATCTAACCAAATCTATTTCTCTTACAAACTCTACATTTTTGTTGCAGGCTATAAAATGATAAAACTCAATTTTTTAATGATTAGTATAAAATACAAATGCTATAAATGAAAAATTAAAAGGAAGCCAGGATCAAAGTAAAAATCATTTGGAAATCCCTCTGTCTGTAGGATGACTCCACCACTCCCATGGGTTCATACTCTTGGCTTCAGGAAAGTTTCACTTCAGCATATTTATTACAAAATCTGTCAGCTGAGTACCTATATTACTGTGAATAGAAACAT